GTATTGATATTGTAAGAACAATATCAATACTTCGTACGTAAAAATCAGTTTTGTGCTCAAATTCACTTTTAAAGGACTTTGAATTATTTTTAAAAACTTTGAATAAATTTAATTCAAGTCCAAAAATATTTTGTCTTAATTTGTTATATCAAAACATTATAAAAAATGGTTCAACATAAAGAGAATAAGATCCCACAAATTGGCGAAGATGACGACAAAAAGCAGGGCTAGCCGCACCATGAGAATTCCATAACATAAAACTAAACATGATGAATGAGAAAAGGATTAAGCGGGGTTCACCCTAGTACACCCTTTCATTTCCTTGAAGCATCAGGTTTTGCTTATTACTGCGCAATGCAACATTTTCCATGTTCACCTTATCAGAATTGGCCACTTCCTGTGGACCCTTATTGATTTGATGCAAGAACTAGACATCGTCTGGATCCAATCAGATAATAAAAGCCGATCAGGTGTTGTGTAAGGTCGATTTTTCTTCACTTTAAGTCCCTTAGAGGACACTGCTTTAGTACCACTATGGGTTCGACTCTTGTGCAAAGGTAATTTATCTCGAATCCTACATCTCAATTCCATTGTATCATCATTAATTTTAATCGTGAAATGGTTCCCCTTGCATACTCGGGACCTTCACCTGAACATTTGTTTCATTACCTCGAATGGAAGGGATAACGTTCACCTACTAAAATCAGTTGGAGCATTAATCTCATTCGTAATATCACCCAAAAGTTTCCTCCTCATCTTATGTTGCTCTATACTTTTCCCCTGAGCATTCACGTGGCTATTATTCACTCCAACCTTGCCACCATTTTGCTGAGAGCCAGCTCCTGCTGAGCGTGATACCTTCACCGTACTAAGCTTATTAGATTGGTCTGCCCTACCATCAGAAATCGTCAAACTACGCTTATCTGTGCTTATCGACAGCTTTCTTCGAGCTTTATCTGACATGGTGACAGCAGTAGTTTCCTCTAGAATTACATGATTACGTGGATGTTCACCAGTCTCCTCATCCACTGTCGATGCTAAAACATCAAAATGCGACTTACCCAACTGAGATGCCCCTTTCAAGCTTTCCACTACTCCCTTTCTAGGCTTTGAGATCATGTGCTTTTGCCCAATCGCCACCATCCAAGGTCCATAAATTTCACCTTCATTCTCAAGTCTCCTCAGCTTAGAATTTTCATTCAAATTTGCTGACTCCCCCGAAGCTCAATTGCTTTCATGAGTTATGGTGCATTGATCCTTTACATGCCCATAAATGCCACACTGAAAACATATATTTTGCAATCACTCGTATTTAATCCGCTGAATAAAGCCATCAATCCCCATGCAAGGTAGCAACAGCTTCGAAAGATCCACATCAACTGCAAGTCTCGCGAACTTTCCCCTCTCGCCTGCCCTAGTATTGTAATCAATTTTGATCACTCTTCCAATTTCAGCGGCCAGGAGTTTAAACAAAAATTTGGTACAGTCGGATTCTAGTTCAAAATGCACTAGAAAGTAATCATTATATAAATCGGTCAATTGAAAACTTCAGGTCGGAATCCACAACGTGTTAATCTTATTCCAAAAGGTTTAGGATTTAGGGTTTAACCAATTGATTTCCCTAGCAGACGAACAATAACTGATTTCCTAATAATGTGATCTATCGAATCGTGCACACGATTCAAAAACTGGATACGCCCCGTTGTGATCAACCACCACATCTTCCTCCTTGATTTCCACATCTTCGTCATCCAACCCAGGAAAAGGAGCCCCCATTATCGTACTGATTCCCACAACAGTGGCCGCATAAGATTTTCGAGGTTCAGAGCTGTTACCAGGCGTGGGATTAGTCCTAAGATCATTGATATCCTCCGCCACCTGCATTATAATATCACCTAAACCATTAACATCTCTAACTTCCTGAATAACTTCCAATTATGTTCCTTAATCTTGCCTTGCCTCCCCCCTTTTGGCACATGATCCTCTTGAGACAGTGGAATCGGCGTCCCAATCGCCACCGCTAAGGGAAGCTGTGAGATAACGTTTATCCACCGAGAAAACAAAACCCAAGAAAAGCGGAGCACTGAAAACCCTAATCAGATTTTTTATTTAATGTTATGCTTTTTAAAGTTAGAGCGACTATTTGATCGAACGTTAGATATATTTTTTACCTTATATCTTATTTTAAACTAAAATTACATGTTAAAAAATTTTATTTATTTTATTTTTTTGGGAATGACAAAAAAGTCTTTTCTTTTTTATATTATCTTTTAAATATAATGTAACACCCAAAAAAAACAACCCTCTCAACTTTTCGAGCAGTAAGGGATGGCGCCCGCAGAAGTCGGACGACCCGAAAATGGACAAATAGTGAACTTTTATTTTAGGTCCCTTCAGATTAGTATGTAAACGAACCGAACGCACATGAATGAAAGTATGTTTATGTTCGTTCATTTAATAAATAAACGAACATAAACGAACACGAACATAAACGAATAAATTTTTTTTTGTTCATGTTCGTTTATTAAGGAATATAACTTGTTCATGTTCGTTCATTTAATAAATTAACGAACATAAACGTTTGAGACCCTACCTTCCATTGTTCTTTCATGAAAAATAGTCGACAATGCAAATCAACCAAATCTACAGTGATAAAAGCGTAAGAGCTTATTAGCAGTGATGAAATGTTTGAAGATATCAAATATTTCGATCGATCTTTTAAAGATATTAAATGATTCACACGACTTTAATTTAACGCTATAACATTTATCTTAGTGGTCCATGATTACATATGAACAATCATTTTCCACTACGTTATTCTAATAAATTCGCCGGCTAAAAGTTTTGTGAAATCAATGTCAGAATTTAGTGAGGTTTGTTAATAATGACCCTTTCCGTTGGAAGAGTAGAAAATTTAACAGCATGAAGATTTCGAACGGTACAAATTGGATTACAAGGCAATAACATAGATCCGAAATCCCTTCGATGCTACATATCATAACTGATATTATTGCTAAACAACCATTCAAAATTTTAATGTACCTAAAGTCTACTCCACAACTAAAGGTCACACAAGAACTATGAAAACAAAAGTTCATTGTCAAAGTGTATTTTCTACTTATTAATGGGTTCTTCCTGGAAAACTCATTACTTCCGCTATTATACTCTTTTTCAGAAATTGCATAGAAATTTTTGTTTTGTTTTTTGGCAAATTCTATATATTTTTCTCTTTACTGATGCTCAAATACTTCCGGTTGTTACCTTTATCTTCTCATCTATTTCTAGAAAGAAGTATGATGTTTTCTTGAGTTTTAGATGTGAAGATACCCGCAATAACTTTACATATCAACTATTAAGCCAAATAAAACAGAGAAATTATATGAAAACAAACATGTAAAACTTCAGATTGCACTATAATATAACTTGTTTTGAAGCTTTCAGCGATCGTCTCAACTCTCCAATGAACACTAGGGTTTGGGAAAAAAAAGGGAAAGGTGCCTCAAGGGTTAACATATTAGATTTAATCTCTAAATAAAATTGGTTTAATTATGGAGTTGGTCATCAGAATATCAGATTAATTAATATTTTTAAGATACTTACAAATTGGTCACCAAAATTGGTTTAAGAAGATTGAGCTAAACATAAATGAATGAACATGAACGAACATAACCGAACGAACATAACCGAATGTTCACGAACGTAAATGAACGAACAAGACATATATTCATGTTCGTTCATTTAATTAAACGAACACAAAATCTTGTTCATGTTCGTTCATTTAATAAATAAACGCACATAAACAAACTTCCCGCCGCACGGTTCATGAACGGTTCGCTGAACGTTCAGTTCATTTACATGCCTACTTCAGACATTGTAAATTATAAATTCATATAATAGTAAAATTATATTTTTTTATCCTTTAAAAAGTTATAATTTAGTTTTAACCTCTTAAATAAAAGTATGGCTTTGTCATGAAGTGGGTAAGGGCCCAATATGAAACTGGTTTTCAATTTTTATGACCATTCAAAAGATAAAATAATAGAAATTTTTCATTTTAGTATGATTCAAGTTTGTATATATTTTCAACAAATACATGTATGATTTGGTTAAACTTGACCATATGAATATGAGGAAAAGTTTTGGATTCTAAAACATGCAAGCGTCAAAACCCGATGGTCTAATTTTTCAAAATTCTTGTTAAGAAAGGATAAACTAAGTATTTAGTCACCCGTTTATTCTTGCGATTATGTTTTAATCATTCAATATATTTTTTAAAATCATATCTAAGATTAAAAAAGATAAACTAAGTATTTAGTCACCCGTTTATTCTTGTGATTATGTTTTAATCATTCAATATATTTTTTAAAATCATATCTAAGATTATATATTGGTTTTATTTTGATCAGTTGTCGACTTGTCGTTAAAAATATTAACGGTGATGATGATGTATCACCACAAGAAAATGACACATGATCATTGAAAAAATAAAAATATCACACCAATAATTTTATTTATTTCAACGGATTATCAACATGTAACATTGAGTGTGAGTTTAAAGAAAACATAATTTGATGACCAAAATATAACTATGAGAATAGGTGTGGTGATTAAGTACGTTGTTTACCCTAAAAATTGAAGGAATGATTCAAGGATCCCGCCAAAGATGCCGACGAGAGTAGGTAGTGCAGGTGATCAAAAACCAAACAACCATGCAATTTAAACGCTTAAAAAAACCTTGTAAAAAAGGGGGTTTCGTGTAAGAAACTGCAGAATCTATGATTTGGATTCGTTGTGTTAGTAAGATTTCGAGAGTGGGCCTTTCGATTTGGTTTCGGTCATTAATAATTCAAGATCGCTGAAGCTAAGCTAATGGAGATGGTGGGTGTTGAAACTTCCAACTCTCTTTTTAATGAATCTGATAACAACCCACGACCAAACCCGACTTTCCTCGTAAATTTTAATCCCCCGCTCTACATTTTAGTGCTTTAAATCAAGGTCGAAAGCAGGCGGAAAAAGCACAGACAAAATGGTGAACCTTGTAGCAGCACAAAGGCCATTGTTGCATGGGCTAATGAAGATTGCAGGGGTTCAGCCTTACACGGTGGAGCTCGAGCCAGGCACGGAGATGAACTTTTGGGTTCCTTGTGAAACAATCAAGAAACCTAAAAAGGGTGAAAAAAAGGCCACCCATTTGGAGCCACCAACAAAACCAGTGGTGGTCTTGGTGCATGGTTTTGCAGCAGAAGGCATCGTCACATGGCAGTTCCAAGTCGGTGCTTTAACGAAGAAGTACTCGGTTTATGTGCCTGATCTTCTCTTCTTTGGTGGCTCCATTACCGACAAACCTGACCGGTCACCGACTTTCCAAGCGGAGTACTTGGTTAAGGGTTTGAGGAAACTTGGTGTGGAAAGGTGTGTGGTGGTGGGGTTTAGCTATGGTGGGATGGTGGCGTTTAAGATGGCGGAACTCTACCCTCATATGGTGGAGGCCATGGTGGTTTCTGGCTCGATCCTGGCCATGACAGACTCCATAAGTGTGGAGTCTTTGAACAGACTGGGGTTCTCATCTTCTGCAGAATTATTGTTGCCTAATTCTGTTAAGGGTCTTAAAGCTCTTCTCTCAGTTGCTGCTCATAAGAAGCTTTGGTTCCCAGATCGGCTCCACAAAGACTTCCTTGAGGTTGGTTTACATATTATTACTCTTGGATGATCTCTCTCTATTTATGCTATGAAATATATTTCCTAACCTGGGAATGAACATTTTGCATGCATGACTGGTGATTCACATGATTTTCATGGGTTTGGATTAACATCTCAATCACTAAAATAATCAGAGTTACTGCTGTTAAAGCTTGCTAGATTTACCATGGTGGCTGACAGCTTAATGGAGTATGTTATCTATGTATGTATGCATGTATGCATTTTTTATATTGTTAAATCCGATGATTGTCATCTTAAAAAAACACAGAAAACAATTAATTTGGAGTAGGTAGAGAGTAGGAAGACAAAAGAATGATAAACAACCATGTTTTATGTACTAGGTTTATAATTAGCTCAACTAACTCTACCTAATTTCTATAAAAAGTAAAAATTATGGATCCTTGCATTGAAAAAATCAAGTTCAACCAACAGAAAGGAATACAAGTCAAATTTTGCCACGTTTGGAAACTTCCTGGAATCTGATCATCAATGAGCCTGGATGGAAATTGCAGGCGATGTTTAGCAACAGGAAAGAGAGAGCTGAACTGCTGGAGGGTTTGATCATTAGTAATAAGGATGCCACTATTCCCTCTTTCCCACAGGTTATTGAGCCATGATCCCTTTTACCACATGCTAGCTCTTTAGAATTCAGAATTCTTACTCCATTTTTCATATAAATAATCTTGCAGAGAATACATCTGCTATGGGGCGAGGAAGATCAAATCTTCAAGCAAGAGCTTGCTCACAACATGAAACAGTAGGTTTTGATTTTGAGTGTTTCTTTTCCTTTGTTTCCTTACATAGCTTTGGGTAATGAATGTGTATATATGTATACACTTGCAGGCAATTAGGTCAGAATACAAGCTTCCAAGGCATAAAGAAAGCAGGCCACTTGGTTCACCTGGAGCGACCCTGTGTGTATAACAGGTGCCTTAAGCGTTTTCTGGATTCATTGTTGCTTGCTGAACAAGTCAACATATGAGTCCTTCAAACTTACTGTCATGAAGACAGGAAAAGGGATTGGGATGGGCTGTGGACTCTTGTTGTAATGGACTATTTTTATGCAACTCTTCCATCTTCTGCCAAAGAAATGGTTATAAAATAAAGGGTAAACTACATATTTAGTCACTCAATATCACTTTATCTCCATTTTGGTCACAACCTATTTTTTTTCAAAATCATATTTAAAATTATGTTTTGGTTCCATTTTAATCATCATTGTTAAAAAATTAACAGAGATGGCATATCATCATAAAGTAATACTACTTCATCATTGAAAAATAAAAAAATAAAAAATTGGCATGTCATCAATTCTGTTTATTTTGTAAAAGCAAATGACTAAAATGAAACCAAAACGTAATATTAGATATATAGGCCTGTAAATGAATCAAACGTTCAACGAACCGTTCGGCTGGAAGTTTGTTTATGTTCATTTATTTATTAAACGAAAGAACATGAACAAGATTTTATGTTCGTTTAATTAAATGAACGAACACGAACAAAAGACTCGTTTATTCATTTATGTTTAAGAACGTTTGATAATCCATTCGTATATGTTCTTTCATTTATGTTCATTCGTTTATGTTTGTTTGTTTATTTTTGTTTATGTTCATTCATTTATGTTCTCCAGGCTCGTTTAAAATATAAATATTTAATAAAATTTAACCTTAAACCCATTAATATTTTTAAATTCAATTAATTTTAAACCCAAATAAGAAGTACTCAAATTAATTAAAGGCAAAAGGGTAACTTTTGCCCCTGTAGTAGACCCAATTTATCACTTTAGCTCCTATCGTATTTTCGCATCAATTTAGCTCTCGAAGTTGCTCAATTGCATTATTCTATACCCTACCCCTAATTTAAAACCCTAAATTATAAACCCTAGAACCTAAATCATAGATCTTAAACCCTAAACACTAACTTATGATTTATAATTTAGGGTTTTAAGTTAGGGGAGGGTATAGAATGATGGAATTAAATAATTTTGAGGGCTAAATTGATGCGAAAATATGATAGCGGCGAAAATGATAAATTAAGTCTACTATAAGGGCAAAGGTGACCCTTAAGACTTAAGAAAATATAAATCTTAAAATTATTCGAAAAGACAAAAACTCTTCTCAAATATAAACCCAATTAATTTTATGTTCATTCGTTTACATTCGTTCGTTTGTGTTCGATTGTCATTTAAACAAACGAACATGAACGTACACGAACAAACTATATTTTTTAATGAATGAACACAAACAAGAAATTTAATTCGTTTAGTTGTTTGTGTTCGTTTGTTCGGTTAAAGTTAAACGAACGAACATGAACATACTCTCGTTTGTGTTCATTCGATTCATTTACATGTTTATGGATATGGTTTTGAATAAAAAAACAATTGGATAACTAAAATGAAACCAAAGTGATTGTTAGGTGACTAAATACGTAGTTTACCCTAAAAGAAATTGGAACAAATTTAAAAGAAATTTAATTCGTTTAGTTGTTTGTGTTCGTTTGTTCGGTTAAAGTTAAACGAACATGAACATACTCTCGTTTGTGTTCGTTCGATTCATTTACATGTTTATGGATATGGTTTTGAATAAAAAAACAATTGGATAACTAAAATGAAACCAAAGCGATTGTTAGGTGACTAAATACGTAGTTTACCCTAAAAGAAATTGGAACAAATTCCTCTCTTATTTTTTGAAAATAATCATATGGTAATGAAAACATGTTATGAACCAACTGTTATTGACTGGTGAACAATTCAATATTCACGGTACAGGTTTGCTAAAGCCATGTGAACAGCTCATATACAACTCAAAAGAAGTTGGAAAACAAAATTGAAAAAGATAAAATGCATAAACCTAAGAACGTTTGAAACTCTTCCAGACTTCTTTCATGGACCCAAAGTGCCACAAAAACAACGGTGAATGCAGCCACACGCGTAAATTCTGAAAGCAGCTGCTCATAAGAAGCAAAGCATGTTAATTTTATAGGGGGGGGGGGAAACAGATATTGATAGAGAAACAGAGACCTCCAGCACTCCAGGTCAGAAGCAAGTTTGCTATCATGGTGATTGCATATTCGAATTAGTGAATCAAAGGGAAAGTAAATAAATAAATAAACAATTAAAAACCAAAGCTTTTGCAACCTTAAAGACCGTAGACCAATTTATGGCAATATATTGTTATTTACTGATAACCTTGAGATGGGAACAGGGAATTCATATTTTGTTGAATTTGTGCAATACCGATTAAAAAAATGTCCCTCGTATTCTTTAAGAGTACACAATATGAACAAGACGTATAAAGAGAACACTTGCAGATCTCCAACTGACCAAAAATGCATTTTTTCCTGCTAAATTTGGCACGTCCACTACATATATTTTGAATGGCAAGTTTGTCTCACCAAATTTGAATTATATTCACCATCTAAACGTTCAATTAATAGTAAAATCATAGTTAAACATCAAAGAATTCTGTTCTAACCAGCAGTTTCGAAGATATTACTGGCATAGAATAAAAAACCATTGAGTTGCTGAGGCACCATTAACCCAATCCGTATCTGCAGCACACCAATCACCACTAAAACTAGGGGTTCAATCAACGCTTTTTAGGGAAAAGAAAGAAAAGCTATAAATGAAATAAAAAATGTAAATAAAAAAACAAAGAATATAACGTCAAAGGATACCGATATCTGTTGCGCATGAGATCTCCAATCGAATTGTTGTTGTCTTGGTTGATGATGCCACAGCTGATGGGACTCATCGGATCTTTACATACATGAAATAAATAGCAACAAGAATGATTAAATCTCCCCAAACAGAGATAAATCACAAGAAACATGGAGGAAGACAAGAATAAGTAGAGGAGTGGATACACGGGTCAAAATATTGAGCTGATGGAGCAGAGACAAGCAATGGTGAAAAACATGGTCTCCACGTGAAGTTGAAAAGCTATTTGGTTAAAAAAAATATTAAAATAAGTCTTGATTTATCTCTAAAATTGTTTTTTTTTCTGAAGAATCTAATTCATGACTTGATTTATCTCTAAAATTGATAGATCATATTTAATTTTACAAAATAATCATAATTATTGTTATTATTATAAGATAGGTGGGGTAAGCAGATTAGATCCCTTTGATTTAAAAAGAAAAGAAACTATGTATTTTGTTATTCGCAAGAACTTCCATTGTCCAGTCAGCCAACTTTTAACATTCCTGGTACTAGGATTTCTTGTATTTTTCTTGTAAGCAGATGAGATTTCTTGTATTTTTCATTTCTGGAATTGTCCATATTCTTTTCTTTTTATTCAATGTATTACCATTTGCTCTGAAGATGGTTCTTTGGGAATTAGGATACCAGCTAGAATAAGAAACTGTCTTTTTTCTTTTTCAAACCATTCTTCCCTTTAACCTTGTTCATCCACGGTAGAGCTGCTATAGTTTGAGAATTATACCATCGTGGTAAGCTTGTAGCTGCTTCTTGATAACTCTGCAGTTTCTGATCTGTTTAATCACTTGGCTTGTGCTCAGTTTCTTGAATGGGGGTTGCTGCTCCATGCTATCCTAGTTCCTTTAAGCTACAAACAATTTCCGGGTTTAAGTAATTCTACTTGATCCACCTACTAATTATTTCAAGAACATAGATTCTTTGCAGCTACAGAATAAACTTTTTCAATTCATCTATGCCTGTACGGTTTAATTGTTACCGAGTCGGCATATATCATCCGGATGCATTCGAATTTTCTCCAGTTTTTGCCTATAGATAGAGGATCATATCATCACACTTTGCTTTCAGTGTTATTCAACAAATTTCTAATATGAGCAGACTTGTTTTTCCTTTTTGAATATTTTGAAGACGGATGATTTTCTCATGAACGGTCATGGATGACTTGTAACGCCCTAGATTGATACGAGTGATCTGATCTGATCCGATGTATCGCATTAGGGCTATCGGAACTAACCACCATAAAAAAATCCGAGAAAAATAAAACTTTTATTAACCTTTTTCAAACCATAAAACAATTTATAAATAAAAACACAACTTCAAAAAAATCAATTACATATTAAAATAGAATCTAATAGTGTCTCAATATAAAGAATAAATGTGACCTATGTATCCTAATTACACTTGTACCGTACTCTCAAGTAGCGCTGAAGGAACTCCCAAAACTGATGACGTTAGCTACATTGGATCGATTCTTTTAACTGAAATGGTAAGTAACGGAGTGAGCTTTGGGAAGCTCAGTAATACAAAACTACCAGGTGATGTTGAAGTACATGCAGATGAATGGTAAGCATACAAAATTTTCTTATTGATTCAGGCATCTACAGGTTTTCGTGAGGAGTTGAGGTTCCACTGATATTTTTTCAAGTAAAAACAGGAAACTTACAGTTCAGAGGAAATGTTCAGAGGATCAGGTTTAGAAGATCGAAATCAGATGTCTAGTGAGTTCCCACAAAACTAGAATAAATGAAATCATAGATTAAAAACAGTAGTATTTTATTTCAGTAAAACAAAATTTTAAAATCATTGTAATACCCTCACCCAAATACTTCATATGCAGTCCCCCAGAACTCCATTCATAAGGGCTTACCCTAAGCACACATCAAAGAAGTCGCCCTAAGGGAGTACCTTGGGGCCTATAGGCCTACCCAAGGGTCACCTTAGGTTCGTAAAGTTTTACCAGCTTTATCAGTGTTGAACCTTCGTACTCCAGACTCCTACCCATACAATATCCAGTAGAAATCAGATTGAGCAATAAACTATAATATCAAAATCATGATATAGTAGAATGTTGTAAAAATGACAATGTAGTTATTTAAATCACATAAATGCCCTCCACTCGTACACTATATGCAGTTCCCCAGAACTGCATCTATAAGGACTTACCCTAGGTCCATTGGGTGTAGGAGCCAACCTAAGGGAATGCTTTGGTGGGTTTTAGAGCCTACCCAAATAATACCTTGGGCCTTAGAGCATACCCAAATAATACCTTGGGGCCTCAGAGCCTACCGAAGGGAACATTTCGAGCCTAAGAGCCTTTCCAAGGGTTACCTTAAGTCCGTAAAGATTTACCAGCTTGATCAGAGTTGAACCTCCATACTTCAGCCTTCCCAGATAGTGTCCTAATAAAACATTTCAATT